ACCAACCAACCAACCAACTTCTGGATCCGCCACTGTTGAAGCAGCAACAGCCGGAGTATCACTTTGTGTTGCATTGGACTAAGATTCGGAAGAGACGTCGGTACAAAATATTTTTAGTCTCTGCGAAAATTTCGATGTAAGGAGCGAAAACTCGTTACTGGAAGTTGTTTACAGGAGGTGCAACAAGTTTTATGGTTTACGTTCAAAAATAATTTCTTGACAGAACAAGATGTTTTTGGTATTGTTTATATTCCTCCTGAGGGTAGTTGTTATAGTTCCATTGACATTTTTAATGATGTTGAATCTGAAGTTGTTAGTTTCATTGCTGAGAATAATGCTAAAGTCTGTATGATGGGTGATTTTAATTCTCATACTGGAGATTTGCCTGATTTTATTAACATTGATGAACAGATTTGTGAATCTTTGTTTTTGAATTCTGATATACTGAATATTGATACTTGTAGCAATGTAGAAATGACAACAAGATGTAATATGGATAAGTCTGTCAATAATTATGGTAAACGCTTAGTTAACTTTTGTAAAAGTTTAGACATGCTTATAGTAAATGGTATATTAGGAAAGGATGGCGGATTAAGCCATACCACTTGTAAAGATACAACAGTTGTTGATTATTGTATAGCATCACCTACTATTTTTAAAAACATTATAGAATTCGAAGTACTACCTTTTGATCCTATGATCAGTAATGTTCACAGTGCATTGCATTTTGTTTATTCTTGTAAGGAATAACAAAAGACTGATTCTCTAATCACAGAGAATGATGATGTATATGCATTAGATCTAAGTGGATAAAAGAGAATACTACTGATTTTGTGTACAATCTAAATGATGAAGAGATTGATGTTTTAAACCATAGAATTGAAACCTTGGATTTTAATACAATTAACCAAGAGATAGTTGATGATATAATTAATGATTGTAATGCAATAATTAAAGTTGCTGCTTCGTCAAGTGATATGGTCAAATCCTATAAGCTTGATTATCACAAAAATAAGAAATCTAAACCTAATAAACCTTGGTTTAATGCAGAATGTAATGTAAAGCGTAAAAATTACCACAAATCCAAAAAATATCACTGGCGTATGAAAACTTTAGAGTCCAGAAATAATTTACTACAATGCAGTAGAGAATACAAAAAAATTGTTAATAAATGTTACAATGAATACAAGAAAAAATTTATATGCCGGGTGAAGAACTTGCAAAACAACGACCCTAAGTCATTTTGGACTTTGATTAACAAATCAGGTACACAGAGAAGAAAGATTGAAGATAAAGTTAGCTTAGAGACTTTTTTTAGACCATTTTAAGAAATTAAATTCAGACAGTAGTGATTACGACTTTGATAATTTTGACATTGAAAATATTTCAGAAATAAATGGAGATTTGAATGCTGAAATTACATTAGAAGAAGTACAAAAGATGATTAAGTTACTGAAGAACAATAAAGCTTGTGGTAATGACCTTATACTGAATGAATTTCTTAAAAATTCTCAAACAAAAATGATCAGTACTTTTACAAAAATCTTTAATCTTGTTTTTAAAACTGGAATAATACCCTCATCTTGGTCTGAAGGAATTATTTGCACTATATACAAGAACAAAGGTGATTCTAGTGATCCTGATAATTATCGCGGAAAAACTGCATTAAGTTGTTTTGGTAAGTTGTTTACTGCAATATTGAACAATAGACTAAATAAGTATCTAGAGAGCATGAATCTCCTGTGTGAGGAGCAAGCTGGGTTTCGGAAAAGTTATAGTACAGTTGATCATATTTTCAGTTTGAAGTGTTTAATTGATTTTTATTTACAGCGTAAAAAGCGACTATATTGTGCATTCATTGATTATAAAAAAGCTTTCGACTCTGTTAACAGGGTGGCTCTTTGGCATAACTGGTACGTCATAGTATTGATGGAAATTTTCTTAAAGTTGTTTATAGTATGTATAATAATGCAAAGTCGTGCATCCGTCAGGGTAGCAATGTGTCAGAGTATTTTTACAGTAATGTCGGTGTACGTCAAGGTGAAAACTTACCACCTGTTCTGTTTTCAATATTTTTGAATGACCTTGTCGATTTTAGTTCTAGGGCATATGATGGTTTAACAAATGTTACAGAAGCTGTACATTTTTTGCTAAGTACAGAAGAGGTAGACATATTCCTGAAACTTTACTTGTTACTTTATGCTGATGACACTGTAATTTTGGCAGAGTCAGCACCTCAGTTACAAGCTGCTTTAAATGCAATGTTCTTATATTGTAAAACTTGGAAATTGCAAGTTAATGCATCTAAAACAAAGGTTGTTATTTTTAATAAACCTAAAAATGACAATTCACAAATGGTCTTTACATATGATAACAAAAACTTAGCAGTTGTTGATGAATTTGTTTACTTAGGTGTAACTTTTTCTAGTAATGGATCTTTTGTTAGTAATAAAAAAAGCTACTTGACTGAGCAAGGTAGGAAAGCTATGTTCAGTTTACTCAAGAAAGTAAGATGTTTATATTTGCCTATAGACATTCAGCTGAAATTATTTGACAGTATGATTACACCCATATTACTTTATGGCTGTGAAGTATGGGGAATTGACAATAACAATGTCATAGAAAGTTTATTTTTACAATTTTACAAAATAATTTTAAATCTGAAAAAATTTACCCCTAATCATGTTTTATATGGCGAACTGGGTAGATATACAGTAGAAATATTTATTATGTCCAGAGTTATTGGGTTTTGGCATAGACTTGTTTGTGGTAAACAAGACAAAATATCTTTTCTCTTATATAAATTGTTATTAAAGCTTAGAGAACATGACTTAATGCAATCTAAGTGGATTAACTATGTTGAAAAAACACTAAATGACAGTAGAATGTCCGACTTATGGTTACAACAGTATTCTCCATTTTGGTGTCAAAATTGGTTAAAACTAGATTAATTGATCAATTTAAGCAGAATTGGTATGCCAGTATTTTTGATATGCCAAAAACCCTTAATTATAGGTTATTTAAATTAGAACATAGTTTTGAAAAATATTTGATTTATCTTCCAAAAGATTTGAGAAAAGCTTTATGTAAATTTAGATGTATGAATCACAGATTTCCAATTGAGAAAAGTCGCTTTTGGGGTGTTGACAGAGATGATCGAATTTGTGATCTTTGTTCCTCTAACAATTTAGGAGATGAATTCCACTATCTTTTAGAATGTGCTTTTTTCAAAAGAGAACGAAAAAAACTTGTTCCATATATTTTTTATGCTAACCCTAATGTTATTAAATTTCATGACCTGTTAAATTGTAAGGACGTTAAAGTCATTTTTGGACTTTCCAAATTTTGCAAAATTTTATTGTCAGTAATAAATTAATAACAAAACAACTGTTTAAAATATGTTGTAATGATTTATTTAATACTAGCAGAGGCCTTCTATACTTTGATTTTTTTTAACTATACATGTACATGTACGAGGGTTGTCCAAAAAGTTCGTGGACAATGGCGTTTTTGTCAAAATGAATAGTTCAAGATATACTTATTGTATACCAAAATATTAGTTATGAAAATCGAAGTCAGAATAGTTTGGTTTTAATTGTTTAAACTTAGTATTTTTGTAAAGATCGCGGTCATTAAAGGTCGCCGATAGTGCGCACGTACCAGGGTTAAAATGCCATAAACTTTTAAATAAAGTGTTCTGATTAAAATGATTATTTTCTTTATAAAACGAGTCAAAGCTTAAAAAATTTTAAATGTGTCGCAAATAAAGCGACTATCGTCATTTTCTGATATCTTTAATTTAGTATCGCTTACTAAATGGACACTGAGAATACTAAGCGAAAACTGCAAGAAGTATGTTTCAAAAATTGACAGAAAAAGCAACGTCGGCCATCCGCACGGAACAGCGTCCAACCATACAATTATGTTTTAATACGGTTGAAACGACGTCAGACACAAAATATTTATTCAAACAACTTAAAATTATCGGAAAATATTTAGTTCATTGACTTGTAATTGGTTTATACGATTTTTCAACGGTGTGTAAAATTTCGGAGACACTATACAAGAAGTGGAAAACCACTGTTATTTGATGAAAATAGGATATCCCTATTCATGACGTTGTTATAAATCTAGCGCCGTCGGACTAAGCTGTGCAGCCTGTGTATATGAATTGATGACGCCCGTAAATTAGCATGTATTGTTTTGAATTTTAAAAAATTAAATCAATTTTGGTCTGTACGTAAATATTATTGCACACACTTGGCAGTGTGGCATAATAAAGAAAATTAGCGTGTGTCCATGAACAAGTGATAAAAATTCAAAATCCGTATTTTTGACGTTATCATGAAATTAGCGTAACGTCAGACTGGGCCGTGCGGCTTGCATATACAAAGTATTTACACCTATAATGTTCATAAAATAGTGTTCATTGTTTCAATTTTTTTAAATATTTACTTAAGCATGGTCTATATTAAGATATTATCGTACACGTTTGCCATTGCGGACTTACTAAGAAAATTAAGAATTCGTCCACGAACTTTTTGGACAACCCTCGTATATAGTAATTAACATTAGTGCCACTCATTTCATGCTTGTATGTTATTTTGTTGTATCATTTGCATTCATATACCCCAGTTGGGGTCTTTGTCTTCAATAAAAACTTGAAACTTGAAACTTGACAAGCTTAAGTTTCTAAGTATGTAAATTTCTAGTGTTTCCAAAGTACTCCTTCACTGTCAGCGGTGAATTTTGGTTTCAAAGTTTAGCACATATGGTAAACTAATTTTTTACGTAATTACCGACATTGTACAATACTTCATAAATGAAAATTTCAGTAGAAATCTAAGGTGAAATTTATCTCCCTTTTTATTTAACTAGATTAAATATCTATAATTTTTTTTTATATTAGTTATTCTTATTAGTATTTGGTATAAAGAATATTTCATTATTACATTTAATTACTTAAAATATACCATTATAGAAGAAGCACAATGCACACATAAAAATATGACATTATATTTTCTACTTCATAACAACTGTGAGAGAGGGTTATTAATCTTGAATATACATGCTTGTAGTCCATTTCACATTCATTTGATCTTTATTAGGAGAATGTATGAATGAAATACCGGTATATCATACATGTGTTTAATCAGGAGGTAATCTATTAAGTATCCACTCTCGCAACAGTGTCATTTCCTGCTTGTTAAATTCATGAAAAACATTAAATTCTTGAAACTCTCCAGAAATGCCTAAGTTTGTTAATGTTCTGAATGTCTCTGCTCCCCAATCAAACAAAACTAGTTCATCTCTGGTCCCGTGACACTGAAGCAATGGGGGAAGGGATGATTTGTCTTGGACATTCTCAACTTCCTGTAAAAAAAAGTGTATGGAAAGAAAATTTGCGTCATGACTAGATATAGACCTGTAAAGGACTGTCAAAGGGCATTTCAGTGGTCTCAATTATAGACAATTAAGAGCCCCATTGTGTCTTAAGAAACATTCAAGAACTCTGAAATATGTGTACCAGGAAAGACAACTCTTTTTCAATGATTAATCATATTTCATGACAAAGGCTGTGTTGTATTCTTTGATTTTCTTTACATTTATTCATATATATATATAAATAGTGATTTTTCAAAAGAAATATGCATACCCACAGAATCATTACCTTGTATACTAAAGAGTCTCTATTTAAAAAGCTTGACAGAGCAAAACAGCCTGCGACCTGTCTCTGATACCTGTAGACTAGATGTAAGGCCATTGCACCACCCATAGAAAAACCACCTGAAGAAAACTACATATCTTTAAGGTATGTTGACAGTGGCAAACATTTGAAAATACACAGATAAAATTCTTGAAAGGGTCAAAAAATTGCCAAATTATATCAAGTACAAATTTGTTTCCATCCTTTTATGAAAAAAAGTACTGGTATTCTTCTGTTTCATCTGAATTTATTCTCATCTTAATCTTCTCCTGTTTGTTTGCATTTATACATGTTGCATTAGTCACCATATCAACTCATGATATTGATATTTTATCATATCAATTTATATCTTTTATAATTTACTTTTAAATATATATGTACATTGTAATATACATGTTTTTATTTTGTTTGTCTGAGTAGTACATGTGTATAAAGAAAATTGTAGAAAATTGTGTGTTCTTGAAAAAAAAACCTACAGAAAGATGAAATTCCATTCATTAAAATGTTGTTACTGCAAATTCAAATAAATCTAAAATATGTAAATAAATACTTCAACCTATGACAATTCTTGAAAGTGGAATTCCACCATCAACTTCTGCTTGGATCAACTCATTCAACTTTGTAGCTGAAGCATCTATAGATGGCAAGTTTTCTGGCACAAAGGGTGAAATTTGGCCTCTATCAAACCACACCGTAGATACCTGACCATTATTAGGAGTGTATGGACTTTAAAAATCAATATTTATTATGTTTTAATGCTCCTGTATCTGAGGAATTTAGAACAAAATCAGAAAACAGTCACTCACATAGGATCAGCTGATGGAAATATTAATTTAATGTGTGGAAACTTAAAATCTTCCTTCCAGACCATGTTTATCCATTCCAACAAACCAGACCCAGTGTCACCTTCACAATGGAATAAAATGATACAAAACTATTTAAAACTTGATTTCAAAAGGATTAAATGCTTATTTAGGGCAAAATCTATATTAATTTTTCAATCAAATTAATCACCAAATGCTCTAATGGTTACAGCCCAAAATAGTATTGGGTTGAGGTTTAAAGAACAATCTATTGAAATACCTGAACCATGTAGCCATATCAAAGAGGCACTGCTTTTTGGCCCTGACTGCGAAATTATCCTCGGTAAGACTCTAAATTTGCTACCCATAGTGTGCACTGGAAACTAAAGACAATGTCTTATATACAAAACCAATACACATGCACGGAACAATTCCGAAATAATAAACCTATAGGGAAACCAATAACCCAGTGGTGCATCCAGAAATTTCAGAACGGGGGGGGGGGGGTATTTTGACAGGGGGATTGTCCAAACTCAGAAATTAAAATTTAATCTTTATTAATGAAATTTTCACAGATTCGAGAAGAAAATACCCTGAAGCGATAGTATCATTTTTTTAAAATTAGATTTGACCGTATTATAATTTCAGCAAAGTCAATAGACTTGCTCAAGTATGTATGTTTTTTAAAAAATTATTTTTAAAATTCTTTGTTTAATTTTGTATTGTGTTTCCTTTGCCGTCTACCATATTTATAAATGTTATAATTAAACATAGTCTGACATTATCATAAAGAGCACATATATAGAGAGCATTCAAGGATAGAGACTTGCGCAAGTCTAAGAGGTCAAGTTAAGGTCATTTTCCTTTCTTTGACATAATATTACTATTGCCATTCATGTGATGCCTACTTCTATTTTAGAATATTACAATTCTGTGAAGAGGTCAAGTTAAGGTCATTTTCTTTTCTTTGACATAATATTACTATTGCCATTCATGTGATGCTACTTCTATTTTAGAATATTACAATTCTGTGAAGAGGGCATAAAACACAGACCCCTGGAATTTCCAGAGGTGGGATCAGGTGCCTAGGAGGAGTAAGCATCCCCTTTTACTGGTCCCACCTGCCGTGAACCCTATGTGTTGATCAAAGGTCTAACAATTGGTATGAAACAAGTTAGCCAAAACACCACCGAATTATACGTTATATTTGCTAACAAGGTCATTTTATCGACCGTAGAATTTACGAAATGCTGACTTTAAACAAGGTTGTTGAAATCTCTGCAACATCAACTTATCTGTCAGTAGCCTACCTCGGTTTAAATATTGATCGTACTCAGAGTATCGAATAAGTTTGGAGATATAAACGCCATATATGCAGGAGATAGCGGAATATTACTACCTAAATAAGACATTTTAAAGCTGAAGTACAATTTAGTTGTTAGTTGGCCCTTATCATCTATATTCAGTTAAACATGCAAATATGAAACAGATGTGACAGACTTTGTGGTGTCTTATTTTAAGTTCACTGGGATATATCGAGTCGACATATAAATGGAAGTAACTATTGTTAATTGATAAAACGTCATACCTGAATGTCGAGTTTAAGGCCACAATAAGTGGGTTTTTCTTCTCACAAGTGGGTTTTTCTTCTCATGTAGAAGTTTGTTTTTTTTAATAAATTCTGCTTCATAGAATTCCAAGAGTTTGTTGGAAGACCAGATTCCGGGGCCATAAAACTTAGAAGAGCTCATTTTTGGTCTCAGTCCCACTTTTCTACTATTAAGTCCTTATGTAAAAGTTAGACTGAGATCAAAATTGAGCTCGTCTAACTTTTATGGTCTCCGAAGACCGCATAAATGTTGTCAATGAGGAACTCCAGTATCCTTTTAATATCAACTTAAGAGTACTTGTGTGTAGAATCAGAGTGATTTTTTACAAAGCAATTTTGTTGATGACTAATCACAAGATACGGAAATTTGCAAGTTCCATTTTTATTGAAGAAGCAGTTGTCTATGATATCAAAAGGCAAGTTTTTAGTTTATCGTGAGGAATGGTTGTATGTATAAAGTGTAGAAAAGTCGTACGTCTTGATACTATTGACTTTTGAAAAAATTTGGTGATTTTAAATTTTCTAAAAGTTCTTTGGATTTTTTGAGAATCCACGTCTGATTTACACCACTTCTAGAATATGCTGTAGCACAATACATGTACTTTTGAAGTTTCTCCATAACAGCAGTTAATATTTTCGAAAGGAGTAAAGATAGGGGCTTGGTAGATCATTTACTGGACCAGGCAATGTATCGTTGTAAGGATCCAGTATAAGTTGGGTAGATCGAACTCAAGAATGTTAAAAGTATTTTAAAAACACTGAAATTCGATTTTGAAGAATTTCAGCCATAGAAAATGAACTATGAGTATAAAATGGATTTCCCGACGTAGAATTAAAACAAAGTTCTTCTAAAATACAGTTATAATGATGAGACTTACAAACAAAGACGATATATCTGCTGGAACCATAACATATTGTTCATGTAGTCTTTCTAATTCGTTTATAACCTCCAGTTTAGTGAAAACGGAAGGATAGATAGTTCAAATATTGCCTTTCAACTTTCTTATATATTTCTGAAACACATAATCCATTTTGAAAAAGTGTTCATGTCTTTCCTTTCAAATTTAACTGCGTTTCCATATGAGTGAAAAATTCTCGAGAGGGACGTTAAACAACAAACAAACAATCAATCAATCAAATTTAACCAACGTCCGGCATAATCATCGACAGAATTCATTTTTGTAATAGAATTGAAGTTCTGTAGCCAGTTGAAAGATCCGGGGCTCCCTGTATTTAAAAGCTTTGAAGAATAACAATTTCTCGCTTATTATAGAAGAATTTCTTTAAATATTTAACACATTTGAAATACACATAATCAACTTAGGCCTACCTTGCAGCCTTAACTGTATCATGAATTTCACAATTTTGTTAGAGTTTCTCCTCTTATAAACAGTTTGCATATTTTCTTACAGGAATAAAGAGGAATAAGTTCACAGATATAATGGGTTTTTAAAATATGTGGCCATGGCCAACTTAGCCAGTAACTAGGGCCTGAAACCTGACGTTAGGAATGCAGAATTTTTTTTTATAAAAACCTTGTTCCTCCTTTACTTTAAATGGTTACTTTAAAACAGTATTCCCCTTTGTCTTCAAAATCAACAATAATATTTGTATGGTCTCACCCTTTCAAAGAAGAAACTGAAAATGTTTGAAAGTTTGGGACCAATTAATGAACAAAAAGGGATAGTAATAGATTATCGTGGTGACTCAGTTGACCTAAAATTACAGATTCTTACACAAGGAAGAGAACAAAATTCGAATTCTTATTGCAAATTTTCATAAAATGGCAAATCATATGCACAAGGAAATTCAATAATCAATATCCTTAAATTTCAAGTTCAATGGATGGGTACCAATTGTGCCCCGTTATTAGCAGACCTTTTTTGTATTCATATGAAGCAGAATTTGTCCAAAATTTTATACGTGAAAAGAATAAAACACTTGCTGTGGCCTTCAACTCGACATTTAGATATATCGACGACGTATTGTCAATTAACAATGGTTATTTCCATTCTTATGTCGATACGATATATCCCGGTGAGCTTGAGATAAAAGATACCACAGAGTCTGACACATCTGTTTCATATTTGGATATTTTACTTGAAAAAGACTTGGTAATCTTACAACCAAGCTTTATGATAAACGCGATGACTTTAACTTTTCAATCGTCAACTTCCCTTACTTATGCAGCAATATACCTTCATCACCTGCATACGGGGTTTATATCTCAATATATGCAAGAGCATGCTCTACGTATGTACAATTTCTAAAACGAGGTAAATTATAGACAAACAAGTTGATGAAACAAGAATATCAGCAGTCTCGTTTAAAGTAGGGATGTCAAAAATTTCATTTTCCTTAGTCGATTATTCAGTTACATTATTCGAACGATAGTCGAATATTCGGAACATTTTCTGAAAATAAAATTTTATTTTAAACTTCACTGGTACATGACGAATTTGTCACTCAAAAACCCTTTTACATAAACATATTTTAAAAGTAACCTCAAAATTAATGCAACGTAACGTGTGGATAGCATGATTATATGAAATAAATTTAGACACCTACCGGTAATTCTCTAAAATGTAAAATTTCCCCATCAATCGAATTCATAAACCGGCCTATACAGTCAATTTTTGTTTTAGTAAGCATTATTTAAAAATTGCCAGCCGATATTTTTTCTTTTCAATTTTCTTTTTAAGTTTATTATGAAAGAAATAAAAATCAGGTGCTCGTGATATTGTTAAACCAGTTAGATACTGCTTATTAAAATTGATTGCCCCGGCTATCAAAATGTCCTTAAAATGTAAGCGAAGTGTCAAAACAAGTCACGGCTATGGTGTGTTTCTTGGATTTGAGCAGTCCTAAAATAACAAATATACAGGGTATAAGATCAAGCCCAATTAATAGTTTTCCAAACAAAGTCCAGTAATTTGATGGGTAATTTATTACAAAAAAACAACACAGGCAGTATCTGACATATAATTCCCGCGGTAGTGAAGCACTTACGATTAATGTACTTTCTATAAGTACATGGAAAGTCAATCATTTTTTGTTGAGGAAAATTTTCTACTGTCTCTGAAGAAAGACGGTTCCTCAATTTTAAGATGAGAATTCCATCTCGTTAAATCACTCTTTAATTGCATTTATTTAATAATAATAATATTCGAATGTCGTTTCATTATTCGATCGTCGGTCCATTCGACTGATGGTCGAATAGTCGACTATTCGTTGACATCCCTAGTTTAAAGTCATCATTTCGTTCTATGGTCGATACAGTGACCTTGTCAGCAAATACAATTTATCATTGAGTCAAATGCTGACTGACGTTTTTCATACTAATTGTTAGGCCATTATTTACACACTGAATTGTCGACGGATTTTTCCGTTATTTCCCGATCATGACAAGGAGCACACGGCGGGTGTGACCGGTCGGCGGGGAATGCTCACTCCTCCACAGCGCCTGATCCAACCTCTGATGTTTTGGAGGTCCGTGTTTGCTCTGCTCCTATTTTGTATTGTTTAATGGACTTTTGAGCTTGAATACTGTTAGTTATCTCCATATATTTCATAAATCACCAACCTTTAAGATCCCTGCGTATTCATAAGGCCATTCTCGAGAGTAGAAGTGGCTGCAGAGCTGAGCTCTGTAGCCAGCCATTGTCCAAGCTTCCAATTGACTCTGATCAAGCTGAAGGCTTTAAATACATTATTTCATATAAAAAATATTTTTGATTACAACATAAATTTAATAGTATG